ATATATATATATATATATATTATATGTACACAAATACACTTTTTAGGTATGAATACATTAAATTTAATGTAATGTCTTGAAATTAAGTTCAAATTAACTTAAAAGTGTAACTTAAAAGTTAATGAAATTTAAAAATATTTCTAACAGTGTACGTGAAAGGTGCTAACGTCCCTACATTTAGTTTGGTACTGAAAGGGTTAAATTGCGCAGCTCGGATGAACTTGGAGATATTTACAAAAGAAAGGAAGAAAAAGAGGAAAGAGAGAGAGAGAGAGAGAGAGAGAGAGAGAGAGAAATCGAATTCTCTTGTGCGTGACTATTCCTATGATATGATTGGTTCTGGAAGTAAATGACGGTATATATCTTCTGGATTTGATCACGCGAATCGTTTGTATCGAAAGTGACTCAATTTTGAAAGTTTGTCAAAATTTTGAGAATCTTGAAATATATAAGGGCATCGATTTGTGTCTTAACTCATTTATGCTTAATTGACTTGATTTAATTGTTAATAATTTATTTGATATAAAGCATTAGACTTAATTAAAGCATTAGACGTGACGTTATTTACGATTAAATATTTGTAATTTTTGTAATTATTTATTCGAAAAATGTTTTTATACCAAAAGTGAAGAAAGTTATTTTTTTTTATTATTTTTAATTTAGCGAATTTTGTAAATTGTATTAATAAAAAAATCGTTATATTGAAGTTCCTTGCCATATATTGATTTGATTAAATTACAGGTAGAGGAATAATTAATTCCAGCATAAATGAATTAAGTTTGTGACGTTTTTTCGAAGCTTAATACTTGCCGCATTTTTGAGACGAATGGTTCGTGCGCGAAAATGCTCGCGAAATATTTCATTTATGTTCATTTCCATTGATGTAGATTAACTCTAATCTCGGTTTAATTTATTCTTTATTTTTTTCTCAGAACTGGAGAGGGATAAAAAGTAAATTAAACCGAGATTAAAGTCAATCTATATTGATACGTACAGAAACGGGCAATATTCAAATAAATTCCGTAATAATTGTACTTTTCGGAACGATGAATGTTTAAAGAAAAAAAATGGCGTTATTACATTTGCGATTATAATGGGAGACGAGAGAGGATGGAGGTTGACTGTGATAATAGGATCGTGAATGCGTGCTCTCAGAAGCACGATCGCGTTTAATTCTTTACTGCGCAAATCTTTGTTTCCGTAAAATAAAGAAAAGAATGTTATCTTTAAGAAAAAAAAAAAAACAAAAAAGAAAATACGAGAAATGCGATTTGTACGATATGTACGGTGCTGTGAGGAGATCGTTTTTGATCGTTTTGTATGATTTTTGTTAACTTTGGAAAAAAGGGGGAAAAAAAGCAATTTGTAAGCGCGATCGTTCTCCTTCGAGCTCAATATGGAATCTAAGAGAAGTGCTGTTATATTAATTAGCTATATTTATAAGAATGTAAAGAGAGAAAGAAAGAAGAAAGGATAATCCCTTAAATGTTGTTTTCTATATCGGTATATTGTTTAATAATTAATTATACTGATGGGATATACAAACGGTATTACGGTATTACTTTAAGTTTCGATCTTTTACTGGACATTACCATTATTGTTACATTTCTATTATCTATTGACTACGTTGAATACGTTATTGTACCCGCGCAGATAACGAGGCGAGATAACGATCGAACGCGATCGAACTGATAACTTGTTTATTTTCTTCTGATTATTCCTCTCGAAAAAATTGTGAAAACATGGGATGGGGCAAGCAGTATATCTTTCGCGTATCCGGATTCGAATACACGACTCGACTTCGAGTGCGACGAACATTTCGTCGACGTGAGAATGTACGCGAGATAAGTTTGACCGTAAATAGAAACGTATCGACCGACACGTGTCGTTACTAACGACTCGTTAAGAGGCGGAAGCATTCTGATACATGCATCTAGTAAATGCGAGCACACGCACCAGAAGCAGACCTTTAAATGGGATTTGAACTCGATCTGTTGTACATTGTCATATAATATGGTGAACCCTTGGAATTTATAAATATGATCTTTCGATCCACATCGCATACACGGAGATATCAATTTTGAGATGTTTTGTCATCCGGGTAATAAAGTAGATTATGGATTAGTCGTTTCCGATGTCTAGGAAGAATAAAGGAGTCATCTATGCAAAAAAGGGAGGATTGAGATGAGCGAACAGTAATATATTCCGCGAAATTGAAATTGGAATTTCGGGAAATAAATCTGTTGACTATTTTTAATTCATCCAGTTATCGCGGACGTATTGCTGGGCGAGATTGCTTCTTTTCGAGCACAGATAATTAAATAAGAATATTTTTTCGGGACATTATTCAAGACTTAATAAACAGAAGTAAAAAGAATGAATATTAATTTAAAGATCGTTTATCAAGTTTTGATTTTGATGAACAAGTAGCATAATGCATTTGAATGTTTTATATCCAACAAACAAGAAGAAAGAAAATAAAATTCTTAGAGCATTCATTTTATTAATTTATTTTTACGTAGCGATAAATTTAATCCGAGGAAGCAATCTCATGTCGGAAATTAACGGCGATTGGTTGTGAAAGAAATTAGGAGAAAAAAATCGAGACATATTGCGAAGATCGTAGCCAATAAACGCGACAGCCAAGTCCTGTGCCAAATTTGGTAAAAAATTGAAATACCCTTAACGAAGACATGCTTGTTCCTGTCGATTGTCGTGCGCTTGCCGCCAGCTTTTCCGCCACATTAGGGAGTCAATGTTAAAAAAACTTGTTACCTAGAGGAAAGTTATGCCAAACCATATTGAGATTCGTTTCACCCAACGAAATGACATTACAAAGTTATCCGGTCATCGATTTTTAATTATCCACACAAAATTGAATTTTCGACAAAAGTTATTTGACAATAATAATTGTTTCCTCCAATACGAATAATTTTTTTAAACTAAATTTAATAAAAGATTATTTGGCATATTAATATTAATAACAGATATAAGTTTCTCCTGCAAAAGATTGTTAAATTAAAAGATTCCGCAAAATTTTATACAGACTTACATAAATCAGATTTTTATTTAAAGGGACAGACATGTAATTTCCTTTTAATTTATTTCTATAATCTCTTATTTTTATAAAAAATGCATATAAATGTTTTTTATTTGCGACTTTGTTAATTTTCTGTGGATGATCGCAGAATCAATGATCGTATAAATCGACAGCAGAAAGGGCATTTTTTCCGCGTAAACGACGCAACTTCTATAGACTGCGACGAAGCGTAAAAGATGATGATTGAGAGAAAAAAAATGCAGAGCACAAGACGATGAATCCCCGATCCGGAAATTACTCGAAGCGGATGTTGCGTTAGTTAATTGTATTACGTAGTCGATAGTATCTATTCCTCGTTCTTGTTTATGTATGATTGCTATTTGCCTTACTGTAATGTTTTAGACTTTTTAGATGGGTGCTCAATACACACGGTCCGTTTATTTAAGGATATATATACGAATGTGTATAATGTGCTGTAAGATTGATGTCAGTTGTGTGCTTTACATATCGATTAAAGGTCTTAATATATGTTTGATGGGATAGCTGAGATAAAAATTTTCAAATTCTGAGTAGTTATCTATGATGAGCTGCTAAACGGAAAGATTGTTCACTGTTGTGTTGTTATACACTGTATGTGCAATATATTATATTCTCAAAATTTTTTATAATTTTCTATTTTTTCAATTTATTAAATTTTTTTGTATACAATTACTTTTTAAAATATATGTTT